CTCGGAATAATGTATTCAGTTAATGCCTCAAAAAAATGTTAAACTGAAATAAAGCACAAACCTCTTGGTACCTTTCACTCGTCTAATAGTACTTGGCTTGATAAGGTTAGTATTATTGGGCGATTCTAACGTTCTCGATTAGGAAAATCGCTATAAACTTTCAGTTTCAATAACTATTTGTGATAGTCATCTTTTTTTTTGTTGTGATATCTTTTCTTTTTTTTTTCTACCTCCCCTTGCTTGCAACATCTAAGGAAGCTTTATGCTATCAAATTCTGAAGCTGGGCATATTCGCCAATAAGCAATACCGTGATTGTAAAAATTATGATACGGACTTTAAATAAGATGTTCTTGTGCGCAGATTTGCGTTGGAAACGGAGCACTTGAGTTAAAGTACGCGCCCGCAGTACAATTATTGTTTTCAAAACCAAAAAACTGGATTCTTTGATCATTATTCCCGTAGTATAACAAATACAACGTATGATCCGGTGTATGAGTGCTGTATAAAAATGGGAGAAAACGACTGCGTAGCTGCATTGAAGATTCGCCCACAATCGAATCGAATCAAATTTTTTGAATAATTCAATTTAAATATATTTAAAAATTCCGTTTATTACAATTAATTCGCAGAACAAAATTATTTTAAATTAATAGAAACGGCAAACAATATCAAAAATACATGAATGGACTTCGCAAAAACAACAAAAAATATCAAATTACGCTTTACATCAAAAACATGCAACTAAACTGAATTGCATTATAACTTAAATTACATTTGCAGCGGATATCAATAAAACCATTCAATTAGCGCATATAAAAAAATATATGTATGCACATAAAAGTGAATGCAGAGAAATTACCTTGATTGGCGACATTTCTTACCTTCAGAGCGAATTTTGGTTGCTCAACATTTACCTTTGAAATATTGAAAGCTATTTTATAATTAAGTAGTCTATGGTATACTAAACCTTCACTAAGCCGATATAACCATTTTGTCCTTTTAAAACTAGTGAACACTTCTGCTCACTCATGCATAAAAGCTACGGGCTCTATTCGTACTACTGAGCTTAATAGTGTTGTGATAATTTAACTGTCAATGAAATAAAAATTCCACTTCAAATCATAGCATGCGATAAAATATGCGAACATCTCCCCGTATTGTTACCACAATAGCAGAGTTCTTTAGAGAAAAAAATGTCATATGCAAGAAACTAATTTTGACAATAATGCAAATCACTGCAGCTCGACTGGCGGTAGAAATTAATAAGCCCCAGAAGTAATACCATAACGTGGCCGGACCTATTATATATAAGGGATGACTGCTGCAGAAGGTAGCATAGCATAGAGCCTATGATATTGGAAAAAAGTGGGAAAAAAAGCAAAAACATTGATGGGAGTACACTCAGATGTTGTAAAATGCTATTTATAAATTAATTGCAAGTGGTATGCTTGAACCAAAACTCTTGTATGACAAAGCGTTGTATTGCTTTCCTTAATCAGAATTTATCGAAGCTTTTCGTCCATTCATCGATTGTCGTTACAGTCGACGAGTGCTATGATTACTTTCAATTCAATTTGTTACAATGGGATACCAAAACCGAACGAGACAGTTACGAGGTTACATTTGTAACGCAGTGACGTACCTCAGAGTACGTCAGAGATCATATGAAATCTGTACCAGGAGTTAATGTGTTTGTTTATCTGCTGCTCTTGGAATACGAATGATCGTAAAATTGGGGATAAGAGGTTAAAACTGAGAGCGCATTTTTCTAGCTGATGACCACAAGTCCGGGCTGAAAACGGTTGTAAACCGTCCACAATAGTTTCAAGAAAAAAAAAAGAGAGTTGACGTACAATGAAAAGCCAATATTGCTGTAAGTTTTGAGCAATTATTTCCCAAGAGTATTCAAAATTCAGTGGACAGGTGATCCTGTTAGCTACGCACGAAGTGAATAATATTGTTATGAAATTGGCTTTTATAAGATATAGTCCGTACCACTGGATCGCGGATATTTTATTCAAGAGAAACACACTTCAAAGTTCTTCTATTTACAAATTATTTTTGGCAATACTTTCCACTGCTTAACTCAAATATTCTTTTTCTACTCTACTACTGTCTTTCACAAATATTCTTTTTTGTATAAATTTTTGCCATTATATTACTAGTACCTAATTTTATGACTTGATTTTTAATTCGTTAATCTGCTTTTGTTGGTAACGGTTTTCATCGGCCTGCAGCTGCATGACGCGCCTGCGGATATGCACTTTGTTGTTACCTGTTTGCTTTTCCGCTAATCGCTTTCATCGGTCTGCAGCTGCAAGACGCCTCGCAAATGTACATTTGAATTCTTTTCTCTTTAAGGAATTTATTATTTTAGAAAATGTCTTAGCTGGAATCAACTAGATTTGGGATTTCCGTAACAATATATTATCCAATGTTTATTCTCTTCCATTCAAAATGCGCTTTCTTACAGTATGTAACTTTCCTATCCTGATTGGAATGAAGAGAATACAGGCACATACTTATACGTCTACCGGCTCAAATTTATTTAAATTATTATAAAATGCAAAGATAAAACGAATAATTTTCGAATATCGAGCTTTTTGCTTATGAGAAAAATTTTGTTTATCAAATAACAGACATTATGAGAGTAAACGTTATTGGTCGATGTCTTTTTTTGATATAGTTAGTTCTAAATATAAATTTGATTATCTTAAGCCTATAAAGTTATTTTAATAATCTTTGTCTTCGCATTTTCTATTTTCAGCATCAAGATAACTTTAATGCGCAAACGTTTCTAGGTAAGCATTTCTTTAATTGTGTTATTATATATGCAAAGAAAAGGTCACGTAATGTGAGATCGCATTAGTAAACTGTGGTGAGTGCAACTTTTTTAAGCTAGATACATAAGCAAAGCTTATCTTTTCAAAGTTGATACAATTTTGTTTATTCATTCATAACATTTTTCGAAAATTGTTCATTTTGGCGCATCTCAAGTATGTATTTAATGGAACCCTATAAATGATGTTTGCAGTGACAATCTTGATTGAACTTGTTAATTAACATGGTAACGTTCATTGAGGCAGTGAATGATTTTCACATTTTAAATACTCTCCTCTCTCTCTATCTGTCTCCCTCTCTCTCTTTTTCTCTCAAACTCAAAATCGGACATGTCCGATTCCCACTTGCGAACTGGAGACGACATGGAAAGAACCTTCCGCTGTGTGCTAGTAGGCATATCGTCAAGGGTTCGTGATGCTTATTTGCAAATATTATAGCCGCACTCATAAATCCAGCATACTCCTATTCCTTGGTATTAAAAATGTCTTTCTATTCAGAGATAATTTTTATACTTTACACCACTTCTCCTATAAGTTTGGGCGGATATATGCTGTACATAAGAGGATCTGTGATAGACCCACCTTTTATTATATCGATATAGTTATTTTCTAAATCGATCTAAGCTTGTCTGTCAGTCTGTTCAGTTCGCTTTCTTGTGTTTTATAAACCGCAATTTTTTAGATATTGTGACAAATTTTGATATATGCAATGACGCATTTTGATCCAAGGACGAACGCTGTTGAAAATTGTTGGGATCGGACCACGTTTTTGGCCACTTGCCATATAACGTCTTATTTCGCAAAGTCGTTATATGAATACCGGTATTTAATGATGCGCTACAGTCCACTATTGTGCCTTTAGTTATTTTATAAATAAATTTTCGTATTAAAAAATTTCCTTTTTATGAAAAATAAAAATTAGTACAGTTAGTACGAAATCTTATAGTGTAGTAGTAAAGTAGTAGTAGTTTTTAGATGCTTTAAAGCTCCTAGAATAAATGGAAAAAATGCAAGATACGAACGAAATATTTTTCTTCAAATTACGTGGTTTTCCCCGTTAGGTGCTCTGAATAAATCCGGATTCCCTGCTAATAAATTATCGTCCAATGCCTTCACTGGTGTTTTGTTAACCGCTAAATTCTCTAACACGAGAACATATATCCTTAAAAAATGAAGTCTTCATTTAAGATCCAATACTTCTTAAAGTAGCTTGATCAAGACAACTAGCTCTTGCGCACTTATTGGGCTGATGGCGTTTCTATGAAAAGCGTTTGATAAAGTTTTTGTAGTGTGTTGAGTAGTAATTCGATATTTCCTCAGTCGTTTTGCTTACCACGTAAAGCGCAAAACGTTCGAACATGTCTTAAACAGATGCAATAAGAGCAACGATCTCTAGTAAAAAAATAAACAATTAGGCTTTTTCGGCTTATAAGAGTTTACGTTTCATGGAAATCCTTATACGCAGTGATATTCGAAAAGTAGACCTTCGTAGTCTATATTCGACAAGGCCAATTGCCAAAAAGGTTTTTGCAAGGAATTGAAATTTTTAATAATAATTGTTAATAATTATTTATTTTTGTTTTGATGAAAATTTGTTTATGATAGTAATTAAATATAAATATTAAGTGGACCTAATTTGAACCACATGCCTCTATTTATAAGATATTCCATGAGTAGTAAGTTGTGCGGAAAAAGGCTTAATCTTTAATATTTTGTGATGAAATTGAATTCATAGAAGCGTTAAAAAAAAATATTAACGGCAGTGAATTTGTATCATACAGGTCGATTTTATGGGATCCCAACATATAAAGGCACTATCACGAAAAACAAACTCTTATTTGAAGAGCAAATCTAACGAGCATGCGGGCTTTCATGACAATTATGGCTTTGGAGCGAGCAACTGCACTAAACGAAATGGTGTAGGGCATGTAATAGTTGGATTTGCCTGACTATAATGTTCTTCCTTATTTTTGACTATGCTTACAAAAAAAAAATAAAAATAATAATAATTTATTTTTAATACGTAAATACGTGTTAAATAAATTTCCCGAATATTATTTTATTCGATTTCAGAAAGTGGTCAAATATACCACTTTTTTAGGCTCTTATAATTTCTTCCTTTAACATATACAAGCGTAGTCAGTGCAAAATAAACGAGCGATCAGGTAGTTAACACTACTGCAAGGCATTCAAAATCGCCAATGCATATCCAATGACAAGTTCCACTTACGAATTTTTTGCTTAAGAGAAGAAGAGTGGAAGGAACACGTCCTGAGCTTATGTGGAGCCTTTGAAAGGCAATTGCAGTCTTTGTAGGATGGTGACCAGACGGATATGACTAACTTCTGCTACCTTGACGTCGGTTACTAGTACTGTGAGTACATTTTGAGACGTCTTAGAAAAAAAGTATACAGATTTCTTTCTATAAAGAGGGATGCATTTATACCCAAACCTAAAGATTAAATTATCCGATTTTTCTACTCAACTTTAGACGCGCGTACGTAAGCGGGAAGAATTGAAGTGTAGGATGTTCCGAGTGAAGCTTTGAGGTAGTAATTGCAAGTGCGTGAATAACATCTTCTTTTCGACAGTGATCAAGTATATAAACCAAGGATTACAGATATTTGGCAAATGTTATAGACCCTATGGGGGGCAATGTTTTGGAAAGGTTTATTATTGCATTCTATTACTATTAAAAAACTTTTCCGATTGGTTAGTTCATAAAACGTAGGTGACACGTTCAATTTTCCCCAAATATCACGTATTGATAATTTAATGTTATAACAGCGTAATGTTTGAGCCATGCAAGTTTCAGATATTTCCAAGCTGTCGTTTAGTGTGTATCAAAGTTTAAAGAGATGAATGGATGTCATTCAGGGCACGGCAGGGTTTTGTGCATTTTTGACTACGGAAACCTAGAAAGGAATGCATGCAGCTGAACTTACTGGCTTGAAATTAAAATGCAATAAACTAGGAAAACGCTAGAAGATGGTTTGCGATATTTCGCCTTTAAAAATGATGAAACGAAGCAAAAGCAAATCCGCAAAGTGAGCATCAATTTAGGCTGGGAAGTTTTACAGCACATTTCGAAAATGCGTCGACGATTCTTTTGCCTCGAAACGCACAAATTTCTACCGCGAGTGCACCCATAAGCTATTGACCTTCGCAAAAATGGGAAAAATCTGTTTGTACAAGGTTTAGTATAGTTTATTAGGTTTTACTGATATTTTTTCTTTGACATTGCTAAGTAAGAATCGACTTATGATAGTAATGCCAAGAATTTAATTCAAACTCAGATTTTTTTCTACATTTCGGTTCCAGCCAATAAAAAATTTATAGTTCATTATTATTGAAAAAAAAAGAAGTAAACCGAAGGTTGGGTTGATTTTCTTAATTTCCTTGCCGATTAAAGAAAGCAAACACCGCGATATCATTCAAATTATGTAAGCAACGTCCAACAAAATAAAGTGTCGCATTCAGTAAAACACAACTACAAATGACGAAAGTAATTTTTCATTTTTACACAAAAACATGCACAATGTATACAATGATCCGCCGTTTCTCCTCCCCTTATAAACAATAAATGAAAATTGTAATTTTGTTTGCCATGAACAGCATAGGAAAATGAAAATTTATAACTGGTGACCATTATGTCTGGACTTAGTAAAAAAAAACAACAACGACAACAAAAAGAAGATTATAAGGCCTATGTAGCAGATATTTTATATATATGAGCTCTCAACAAATTTGACGGAAAATGTTAATTTCATCATTTTGTAACACTTTCTTCGGTACTGTTGCGAATGGAGGACGAACGTATTCTAATATTGTTTTTCCTTTTTTTAGGCAAGAGAAACGCCTAGCGTAGATTTTCGATTCCATAACAAAATATGCAACCATTTTTCTTTGTTTGTCCAATACTTTCGTAGAAACACGAAACAAATAAGAAGCAAAGAAGAAAGAAAAAAGAAGAAAAGTAAACTTTAATTACTAAGAAATGAATATTTTCCCTCCACTTTTTAAATCATTTCTAATGAATTCTGCCTACAAAGCTCAAAGTATATGAAAATTTAATTTTTTTTTCTTTTTTTTTAAATCGAAATGGACCTAAGTATATTCGTCTGTCCATTTGTTCGTCTGCCCAAATGTCTAGTATCTGTGGTAAGTTTTCTCTCGTTCGCAAACACGACGCTTACACATTTGCAAAACAAATTTGGAAACGTCCTAAACCCGTTTAAAGGGCACGCCTATGCAATAAAGACCGTGAACACCTTTCCTTTCCGTAGTTTTTTGCTTGCTGCTCGTAAAGTACACAATATTCGCCGTGTAAATATCCATTTTCATTCTAAAAATAGAGAAAATCAGCCGCGCCTATCCAATATTATAGGGTAAGAGAAGAAAATGTCGTTCTTTTCCCCGTTTATTAGTTTTTTTTTATGACAACGCCAATCGGTGTAAAATGAGTATTAGGCATGACCGAATATTATTCTCTTACCTGTTATTCTTACGCTATTAGACCAAATACCGTAGTTTTCATCTAATAACTAAAAGGTCTGTTGTCCCATATTCTAACAATAGGACTGGCCTGCACTTATAGTTTACCTAAATGAAATGTATGTAAATGTACAGTATCGGAAATTGTTTGATCGCTACTTTACGAGAAATCTATCAGTGCAGCCATCTACCGAAAAAATAATGGATTTCTTTTTCCCCAAACTAATAAATAAACAAAATGCTAAAAAATTGGTAACTGAATGCAATAAACAGCTGGGGTTGGCACTGTACAATTGAGTGCATCTAGGTTATCGCGAATGAATTTTGCCTATGGATGAATGGATAGATGTCATGTAAACAATTGGCGTCATCTTGTCTTCTTTTGTTTGATATTTCATTGTTCAAGCAATAAAGGGCTCAAACCGATTAATTGTTGTTAGTGTAGCATTTGGTATGAACTGTTTCAT